TACAAACTTGTTGGACAAATGTCTTCTGCAAGAGAATAACTTTATTCTCTTTTAGAAACATTTAGAATAGTTGTTTGGCTGGCAATTTAAGATTTCTATTATGGCTAATAGAACCCAGAAGATCAGAAACTTAACAGGTAATGGGATCTGGTAGTTTGAAGAAAAATGTTTCAAGTAGCCTCATAACTGTTTAATGCTGATATAACCTGTTCTCTACATACAAAGCCAGCAAAACAGGACTTGGAAAGTTAACTTTATCTTTGCTAAGGTCCATTCTTCTTTACGATCAGAAAACTAAGGTATCAGTCAGCAGTTAACCCTTCCCACTGTTCGTAAGTATTCAGGTGTAATAGACATGTAACATAACCTATGTAAGCTGATGAACTGCTGTAGTCCACTGTTTGTTCACTGATGAGGATCTCATGAGAACTACTTCTTGTGGAATAAGACAGGAAACTGCCATTCCTGCAGAATTACTTAAACAGTGATGACCACCTCTTTTTACCATCTGGTTTAAAAGGATATTTTGTAGCATAGGCTTTAAAGAGTGGGCTATTAAGTACCGACTGCTCTGAAGAGAGAAATTTTGTGTGCTTTTGTAACAGCTTGCTGACAGACGCTACTGATTATATCCTGAGCCAATGTTGTCCTTATCCCTGAGCAGACTTGTCATTCCATAATGTTTCTAATTGTCTTCCTGAACTCTGCAGATGTTAGACAAAAAAGTATTCCTTTAACTGTATAAAAATAGTACAACTTGCCTGAGCTTGGTTGTCAAAACTCTTCTGGGAAGTAAGGCTTGACCCCTTTTGAGGTGAAAAGGATATTCAATTGATGTCTCTCTCTTCCTGCTCAATGTGCTAAGCATTAGGTGACTGTTTTTTCTTTTACAAGATTGGCCTACATCTTTCTCACTCTGTGTTTAAAAAATGCTGCATCTACAAGAGTATTTTGTGAAGGCCCTGATCCTTTCAGTGTGCTGGGGCATGCGCAGTCATACTAGTGCAGATCTAGCTGTAATGATTTAGATTACAGTGCCTTCAACTGAAGGTTACCACCAATGTGGCTGAGATGCTGCTCACCGTCTTCTGAGTGCTCTCTGTGAAAAGTGAGACAGATTGTCTAAAATTCCTTTCAGATACGCTCTGTGATAAATCTTTTGCACTGAAAAGGACTATGAGTGATCATCTTGTCAGTCGTGCTATCTCAGCCATGGAGGAATTAACCCCAGTGAGGGACAGGTTAGCTCTGATAATTTATTTTACTGCTCCATCTGGATCTGCAAGTGCACTTAGGGCATACCCAAGAGGTCTTAACAAGAGAGCCACCTGGGTGAGTTAAAGACAGGAACACTTGAGATTTCAGACCCTCTGAAATCTTATACGGTCTGAAGTCTTATACGGTCATTGTGCAAGAGGTTAAGGAAAATTATCTTTTCAAAATATATATTGTTACCTAGACAGTCTTGGACAGTAGGACTTTTCTTGTACCGTGAAGAGCCTGGTTGTCTTGTCTTCAGGATGTCCAGAGCTCCATGTCTTCTATCAAGAAAAAAATTCTAATTATTTTACTAGGTAAAGTCACACTGATTGGGATCAAACTGATTATTTCCTCAGTGGCAGAGAAGTGTCAGGGCAGTAGGTGAAAAGAATTTCTGCGGATGAGGATTGAAATCCTAGAATGCAGTGGGGGTTTTCTCATTCATTTTAATGAGATCAGGATTTCAGCTAAGGAGTTTTTAAAAGATGGCAATCACATGGAGATAAGATCTCTGTCTTTTGTAGTTGCTCTACTTAATGAATTCCTTATCCTGGCTGTGAGCTTGAGATAATATGAACAGCAATGAAAAATTTCAACGTTAACAAAATCTGTTCTTCTTTCTTCGTCTGTGCTACAGAGGAGAGCATTAAGGACAGCCTCTGAAAAACTCAGGAATCGTTCCTCTTTTTCTACCAATGTTGTATACAACACTCCAGGAACTCGAGTAAACAGATACATCAGCCGTTTGATAGAGGCCCGGCAAACTGAGTCTGAGATGGCTGACTTGAACTTCATTACCCTGAAGTATAAACAAATAGAGCGTGAAAATAAAGTAAGGAGTTTTTAAATTATTTTTACTGATTTCACTGACCATGAGCCAACCAGCATTTTTTTTTTTTGTCTGTTTTTAGACAATATTTAAATTCTACTCACTATCTTTAAATAATCCTCTGGACTGTCTCTCAGTTAAGAGGGAGACATTATCTCTACCTTCTATGGAAGCACTTGGAGGGGATAAAAAGAAAGATCAGTACCTTTCTACTCATCAGTATCCTCCCCCATGAAGTTACACATCCTGTGTTTTGGCCTTCCTTTTCCTTCTCCAAACTGCCTGACCTGCGTCACCTGTTTGATGCTGTCTCATGGCAATGTGGCTGTCTACTGACTCATCTGCTCTGGAGAAGTGTTAATGACAGGAGGATGCTTCCCTCTGCATATGTAGCCTGATAAGTATTGATCCTGTCAATCCTCGAAAACATAAAAATATCTTAAATCTCTGGGCAAGGATGTGATCTTCTGCCAGTGTGACTGTGCTGAAAGCAGTGGACTTACTCCAGACTTATAAGCATGCATATAAGCTAACGAAGTAGAGCTGTTCGTTCCTACCTTGTATGGGTTTTATTTGTAAATGCAGATTGTTTTAATTGAAAAAAAAATAAAAGCCTTTCATTTATGTGTTTGAAAAAGCAGAAATGATATGATTTTGGATTAATTTGGCAGTAGCATTTATTTTTCCACTGTAAGTCACTTCGTAGTCTAAGATTTCATGTCACTACTGTTTCGAGTCAGAAGGCTGTGTGCCACATTGGACTCAATTTTTTTAAGGTAAAAAAAATCATTAACTTTGATTTCAAGTTTCCACAGTGATTTATTATTTAATTGTAATTGTTTTCTTTCAAAATAAGAAAGTCTTTTGGTGTAAATGAGATTAAAATTTGGATCTTTCTGGGAAAACACTCGTGCGTTTCCACCTCTGAAAAGTGTTCTGTTGTAAGGACTATGGCTTCGTGGAATCAGGGACAGTAACTGCTCAAAACTGAGCCCATGTCTCTCAGTAGCAGCTACCTCCAGCCTACCTGTTAGTGTCCTGTCCTGAGCAGCTGAGGTGACGGGACGCCTTGAAGGCAGCACCAAGGGGGTTTTGGCCTTTTTTTGTGATGAGTAAGTGGAAAGGAGGGAGTGCCACCTCTGCCTGGTTCAAAATGGCTGAATCCTTTTTGCTCCAAAAGATAAACTTATGCCTGAGCCTAACCCAGATTTGACTGGTTACAGGGTGAAAATTAAGCAGCTAGGCCAACAGTAGCAGCTGAAAGAGAAGGCTGTCAAGGAAAATGTTGTGTAGACTTGCCTCATTTTTTTTTTTGGTGAATTAAGCAATGATTATTTGTACGTTTGTAAAATGGGTAGGGGCTTGTTCTTTCTTACTGAGAATGGACAAGCATGGGTGGCTGGGTGTGTATAAAACTCACTGTCTTAATTTCTTCCTTTCTTTAACAGTACCACCAGCTTCAGGATGAGTACTTCACCAGTGCTGTAGTTCTCTCACTAATTCTAGCTGCCTTATTTGGCCTTGTCTACCTTCTAATAATACCACAGTAAGTTTCTGTCTTTTGCCATTATAATTCAAAGTGGAACATCTTCTAGCATCCTGCACGGGTCAAAACATTAATGTCTTTGGAATGGGAACTAAGACCCAGGTTGGTATCTTCTGACAGGAGATTCTCTGTTGGTATACCCTCAGTCTGACTGTTACCTCTTCCATTGGTCCAAAGGAGCCACATTTTGGTATCTTAATTAAAACAATTTCTTCCCTGTTCTCTCAACTTTTTTTCTTTCTTTTTTTTTTTTTTTTTGGTAGAAGGATGCTTTTAGAAGACAAAATCTAAGTTGCTAAACTTATTTAAAGCATTTCTGCACTACAAACAAAGGTGTTACTGCAGCTTTTCTAAATGTATTTGTGCTGGCTTTGGATGAGGTACTTCAGGTATTGGTAGCAACATAGATAAAACTGTACAGAGCTTAATGGGAACTAAGTACTGAAGTACCTGTCCAGCTTTTCAACCCAAATTTATAGCCTGCACTGAGGTTTTTGGTATCAATGCTATCACTACACAAACTGCCTAGTGCGTAGTTTGGCCATTCCCACATGAGTTGCAGTCAGACTCTGCTTGCACTAAAGCAGACATAACCAAATACTCATGATGTATTTGGGGGGTGTCTAATGCCTATTGCTGAGTGATATAGTTTAGTGATTACTTCAGATTTTGTCAATTCTTTGTGAATGCTTACTAAATAAAAAAATTATTAGACTTCTCTTTCACATCTAGGGGTTATAATAAGTAGATATAATTGTGTTCAAGGTATAAAAATGATTAGTAATAAGCTTTTTCAGATGAGAATATCAAAACATTCAAAATAAGCTTCACTCACTTTTACTAATTATTAGGATTTCAATGGGAATAGAACTGACCACAAGATAATGCTTTTGAAAATCCCATTTTAAATTCTGGTCTTTTCTATTCACAAATTCCCCAGTCAGAATAATACTTACTCCTATATTCTATTATTTCTAATTGAAAGTTTGAGAAACACCTTTTTTACTTCAATAATAATAATCATCATATAAATTTGTTATATAGAATCATAGAATCATTAAGGTTGGAAGAGACCTCCAAGATCATCGAGTCCAACCGTCAACCCAACAACACCATGCCCACTAAACCATGTCCCTAAGCGCCTCATCTACCCGTTTTTTAAATACTTCCAGGGATGGTGACTCAACCACTTCCCTGGGCAG